ATTCCTTCCAAGTCTATGACGGTAATTCTAAACAAGAATGCCGCGATGAGAAGGTTTCATATAATAACTCTTTTCTTCATGAGCTAATAGGATTTGTTGTGACAGATTTAAAAGCTACTCCATGGGAGAAAGTTAAGCACTCTGACAAGGTACATTGACTCACTTGAGCCCTTGGAAGACTTTTTTAATTCAATGAAGCATCATTTTCCTAAGTGTCATAATTAGAAAATTAGCAGTTACTAACGAAGAAATAAATTAAACTCTACCACTGAACTCTAATGCTTCAGTGAACTAAACAGTACCCAAGTGGTCTGAAATAATTCTAAAAGAACCCAATTCACTCACAGGGAATAGTTTATCCACTAGAACAACTGGCCTGATTAAATGCCACTTGGATATACTAAGTGTAAAAAGGTTCTACTTTTCTAGGAGCTTACAAGGTTAAAAAACAAAAAACTCTTGCTATGTAAGCCAAAATACAAATTAAATAAAGTTGGCTAGACTAATTGAATATCAAAATATTGGCATTTCATCCAAGGCTTCATACATGCCATTTATTTGGAAATAAAAAAATACAATATGATAGACAGTGGACAGGGAGTCAGCCTCAAAGAAAACTAGGGTTCAAGGCTTACCTCTGACACATAGTTACTGTATGATCTTGGGCAAATCACTTAACCTCTCCATGCTCCCAGGCAATTATATAAGTTGAAAACAAGTAAAGAAAATTTCTAACTTAGTAGATATCTATCTATCTACCTATAGTTAGATAGATACATACATAAATACACACATATATGTATATGTGTTAATGTATGTGTATATACATATACATAATATATACATACACATATAAACTTACATACGTACATATATGAAATCACATCTGGTTTCAAAAAGGTAATAGAAAAACAGGTGGCTCTAATAAAATTAACTTCTCATTTTCAGTTCATTAACATAGGTTCCTTGGGTAAGGTGACATTTTAAGTGTTCTTTTTATGGTAGAAGAGAGTGAAATTAATCACCTGGCAGTGGGAAAGATCTCCTATGTAAATGAAGTTGATGGAGAGTAGTGAAATTAATCCTAGATAATTCTGAGGAAGAAATAAATAAAAGGAAATGAAGTAAAGAGTTTAAGTGAAAACAAGAAAGCAAAATAAATGAAGATATAACACTTTTCCTGGTGAAGGAATTTTGTATCTAGGCTTGGAGAGTAAGGCAATTAGGGAACCTCTGGAGGGTTTTAGGGGACAAACTATTTATGCTGCAGAAGAAAAGGTGATGGAGGAAGAAGTGCCATCTTCATTCTTCTCCACTCAGATCATCTTTTTCGCTTCCCTGATGCCATTGAAAAACTGGATTCCACCCCCTAGAACCACTCTAGACTTTCATAGGATAGCTTTGCCTTTATCTTATTCAATTCTAGTTAATTAAAATATGAGCTGCTTGAGGGCAGAAGCTGTTTTGCTTGCTTTAATTTGTATAACTAGTGCTTGGCACAGTGCATGTCATATATAAGTATATGCTCTATGTATCTATCTGTCTGTCTATCTAACTACATATATATCATCCATCTATCTGTCTATCTAGTATCTATCTCCTCACTGAGAACAGAAAGATCAAGTAGAAGTAGCAAAATTAATCCTAGACTTACACTATGGTGATAGGGTAGGAAAGATTATTGTACACTGATTCCACACAGAAAGAAATAGCAGAATGTCATAGAACTTGTGACAGTGAGAATGTTGATGTAAGAAGTGAAGATCAATGAGAATGAATTCAAAACACCTTCTCTCCCCCTGATTACTTGCTCACTCCAAAGTGAAAACCAAATGAAAGAAAGAAATATAATAAATGTGGCTTCACAGAATCCAACTTTATTTGGCTGCAAGAAACTTTGCCAAGTACCTTGCAAGAAATACTTCGAAGACAGGACACAGGGTGGGATAGGGAGGGACCGCAATCCTCTAGACTAGATAACACTACATTTTTTGAATAGGGGCAGTCAGAAGAAATGTGGTTAAGCTACAATAGTCAAAAAGACTATTTGACCCTCGATTCTATGGGATCAGTTTTCTTGCTGCTGTATTGCTTCATGTCTAGAATTAGTGTGATGATATGATGCTATGTGAGGCTGGTGACCAGCATTACCAAGGAGAATGCTACCCTCATTCACTCTCTCTTTTGAAGATGGTTTTATTCCTTTCCAATCACTCCCTTGAGTCCTGCCCTTTGAAGGAGTGCATTTCTTTTCAAACTAGTTATGGGAAAACAATGGGAAGAGGAAATAGCCAAGGCCCCATATCCCAAATCACTCCAAGCTCAAGTAAAGTCACTCCCAGACAAAGCTGCTGGCTCATTTGCTTTGGAATTTCAAGGTCTAAATTTCAATCTTTCTCTGTTTTGGGAAGTTAGAAAAATATAAATCAATAATATTCTTTTCACAACTCAAGACTCCTCCCCTCCCCAGGCAAAAATTTTTCTGGTGAAGTATATCCTTCAATTGTCGAATTTTTTTCCTGCGTACTCTTCTCCACCACTGCTTCTGTCACATTTGTGCAAAGATTCACTTAGGTTTTTATCATTATGGTCAATTATGTATCATATTTAATAACGTGGTAAACAGAAAACCAAACAAACCCGTAAGGATTGAAGATTCAGGCATACCTGTTCTAAGAAAACAGGAGCAAAAAAGTAGAGAAGGGGGTGAGATTTTACCAGCTTTCATCTCTTCTGTCCAAATCATTCTAGCAAATTCAGCAACTATCTGTTCTATAAATCTTATGCATGATTTGATCATATAACCTCAATCATGTGACATTCTCTCTCCACAATTTCCTGGGACACTTTACTACTTTTGTGTGCCTATGAACCTGCTTTCATGCTGGCACACAAACACCCAAGCTAGCACACCTATCCTTGGTGGTTCCTAGCTTCAGCTTCCCATAATCTCTCAGTATGAGAAAGGTTAGGTTATCTATCACTTTGTCTTTCAAAGTCTATCCCATCAGTCCAGAGTTAGGATGAACTACCTGAGTGTTAAGCAAGGGCATGCTGGTGAATTTACCCTTGACCAACAAATATCCATCTCCAATGTCTGTCTCCTTGGCAACCCCAAGGGGTGCTACAAATGTTTTGGGGGGTTTTTCCCTTTGTTTTTGCTTGAACATACATTAAACAAAAACATTTCTTCATACATCTACAGTATTATATGGAGCCAATGCGCATTAATAAATTTTGAGATACATTTAGCACTCCGTTTCCCCACATTCCTCAATCTTCCTTGTACTTTGTACTTATAGTAGCACTGAAAAAGGTACCTGTATCCCAACACCACTCTCCATGCCTATTTCTTATTCTTCCTTCACTCATACAGGCCTAACATTAAACATATATGTAACAAATTCTCTTTATGTTCAGGATGGATTTTAAAATGAAAGGAAATTAAGGAGTGGGCAATGCTCATCCTTCCAATTATATACTGACCTTTATAAAAGTAACTAATCAATCAACAAACTTTCTTTAAATACCTACCTACTAAATGTCAGGTATTGCGCTAGAGACTGGAGATACGAAGACAAAAATGAAACAGTTCCAGTCTTCAAGGAGCTTAGCTTTTACTGGGAAAACAACCTGTATAGGTAAATGTGTGTGTATACACACATACATACACATATATATGGTGTCTGAATGTATATGCATATACATGAATATATGTATACACAGAATAAGTACAGCTAGATTGATCAGTGGCTAGAGCACTGGGCCTGGAGTCAGTAAGACCTGAGTTCAAAGCTGGCCTCTGATGCTAATGTTGTGACTCTAGGCAAGTCACTTGGCAACCTCTGTTTGCCTTAATTCAAGAAAGAAGAAAATGGCAAACCATTCTGGTATCTTTGCCAAGAAAACACCCTGGATAGTATTGGTATGCTATGTAAGGTCCATGGGGTCACAAAGAGTTAGACACAAATCAACAATAACAACAACAAAGTCACCAAATTTGAGGTGTATTCAAAATGGTTTAATGTAGAAAGCAGCTTTTGACTGAATCTTGAAGGAAATGAAGGTTTCCCTAAGGTAGAAATGAGAAGAGATTTCAATAGTGACCTAGAAAACAGCCAATGCAAAAGCCAAGCCACTGCAAAGGAATTCTCTGTAAACAGCAGAAAAAAAGACTAATTCAGCTAAACTAGAGGGAAGAGGAGTGATATATAATGAAACTAGATGTAAAAAGTGAATAAAAGGAAGACATTGATGTTTGTGAAACTGCAAAGTACCTGGCACATAGTAGTTGCTTAATAAATGTTTATTGATTAATTTATTGTGGAAATAGTAACACTAGCCTACAGAGTTATCTAGCACTTTGAGTTTATAATGTCTTAAATATCCTATTGTATCCTTGTAACAATCCTGTGAAGGAGGTAGAATGCAGCCTTCTTGAAAGCAGGGCCCTTTACACTAATTGTCTGCCACAAATCAGTGCTGAAGAAATGTTTGTTGAATTAAATTGAAAGCCCACTTTATGGATGAGAAATCTGTGGCTGGAAAAGGACTTGGCCAAGTTTGTACTTACCAGTCAAAGTTAAGTACTTGTCTTCTGACTCCTTGACCACTTTCAGTACATCAAACTATTAAATGTTATTATTCATTTAAATATCAAAGCATTATGAACTCTTTAGGAACAATGTTACCCTCTTATACAAAGGCATACTCTATGGTATGGTAGAACAGACCAATGGTTATGGAGTCAAAAGACCTAAATTCAAAACATGCCTCTGGTGCTTTACTATCTCTGAGACCCTGGGCAAATCACAACCTCTCTGGACCTCAGTTTCTATCATAAGGGGGGCTGGACTAAGTGGTTTCTAAGATTCCTTCTATATCTAAGATCTATGATCTATAATCCTCATTTATAGTTTCAGTTCCCCATGGGTATACAGCAATGTCATGAATTGCTTTTTCAGAAGCATTGATAGAATATCTGTACCAATTTGACTTACCCAGTGAGTTTGACTGCATGTGTGCTTAGATTTCTGTATTTTTCTGATTCATCCTTTATGCTGTTGACATGCCTATATATCCCTGTTTTGTAATGGAAGAAATCTTCATGGACTTGCATTATTGCTAAAAGAAAAGTTGACAACATAATTGACAATGAAAAACTGTGAAGAACTATGTGGTCTTTTCCCAGGCAAATCTCTGAGTTCTTTCCCTGGGATTTCAACTTTAAAAGGACTACACAATTGAACTCATTTTCTCTTTTTCATTTAATTGGTTGTGATTTTTCTTATTCTCCTATAACAATGTCATTGGAATATTTATAATATTACTTAAATCTATATTATGCTTATTAAAATCCAACTAATCTAGATCAAAGAAAACACAATATTACTAGAAATTGAACCACTAGCAATCAAGTCCTTCCACATCGGGCAAGTGATTGCTTCTTCTCTGTTAACCCTGTTCTCCACTACAAGCCTATAAAAGCTCCAATTAAGCCTGCAGCAAAGGGTGAGCCTCACAGAAGAGGCTTAAAGTCATTGTTCTTAATCCTCCCATAAATATAAACCTTTCCTTGGCAAGTCTAAACGAAAAGCTGTGCCTTGGAGTAGGGACATGATGCCAAGATTTTATTCTTCAAATACTTGGGAAAGAAGCCAATAGCATGACCTTTTTCTTTTTTTTTTTTTAAGAAATAGCATTTACAATGTATAAAAATGGGGTCTCTGATTATTTCTTTCTGATACAGAATGTTCCATTGAGGGGTTGGGGCAATACAATCTTATAGAAGTTGACATCCCTTTAAAATTTCATAGGAGTACAGGCAAAGGAAATAGAAACTATGTAAATTGTTGAACCATAAGTTTGAAATTCATTTCATTCATTCACTTTATAAATATTTATTGAATTCTGCCTGTGAGCAAGCCACTGATAATAAAAGCTCACATGTAAATAGTGCTTGGAAATTTTCAAAGTACTTATCCAATAAAAACCCAGTGAAGTAGGTATGATAAGCAGTGTTATCCCCCAGAAGTAAAATGGGCCCCAGTGATGTGAAGTGATTTGCCCAAGTGTGGTGTGTGGTGCATAAAATGCAGCTGGTGTATAAAAATATCAGCTAGCATTTATATAGGGCTAAAAGGTTTTCAAAGTGATTTCATACACACACACACACACACACACACAAATACTTGCACATGTATAATCTCATGTATAATACAGCAACCCTTGGAGATAAGTGTAAGATTGTATGAATTTACAATACTGTAGTACCTAAAGGATTTTGCTTTTGTCTCTTTCCTATCACCTCCACTTCTTTTAAATTCTATAGAATGTGAAAGAAGGTGATCTTGGAAGTACTGAAGAGTTAAATGTCAAGGGCAGCAATTCGACCCAAGTCTACTGAATGCAAACACAGCACTCTTGGCCTAATGGATAGATAGCTAGATTTTTGAGTCTGAAAGACTTAAGTCTGAATCTTGCCACAAACAGTTACTAGCTATGACATCATGGACAAGTCTCTTAACCTACTTCAGTTTCCTCAGTGGAGTGAAATGGGGGTAATAATAGCACCTACATCCAAGAGTTGTTTTAAAAATCCAGTGAGGGGGCAGCTAGGTGCGAAGTGGAAAGAGCTCTTGCCTTGGAGTCAGGAAGACCTGAGTTCAAATCTAGCTTCAGGAACTTGACACTTACTAGCTGTGTGACCCTGGGCGAGTCAATTAACCTTGTTTACCTTGCCAAAAAGCAAAAAAAAAAAAAAAAGAATCCAGTGACATTATACATGTGTGTGCATATGTGTGTGCGCGCGTGTGTGTGTGTGTGTGTGTGTGTGTGTGTGTGTAAAACCACTTTGGAAACATTATGTCTCCATATAAATGTTGGCTATTACTTTTATAAGCCAGATTGCATTTTTAAGTCACTATATAAAGGCCTTGATACGGTTCATTTGCTTTTCAATCATGTCCAATTCTTCATGACCTCATTTGGGATTTTCTTGGTGAAGATACTGAAGCAGTTTCTCATTTCCTTTTCCAGCCTATTTTACAAATGAGGAACTGAAGCAAACAGGGTTAAGTGACTTGCCCAAGGACACACAGCTAGTAATCTGAGGCCAGATTTGAAGTCAGATAGATGTCTTCCTAATACCAAGTCCAGTGTTCTATCCATTGCTCGACCTAGTTGCCCTATAAGGCCTTATACCACAACAATTAAATCAACTTTAGGATAAGAAGTGTGGTATGATACAAAGAACACTGAAAAAGAAGGAAGAAAAGAAAGAAACTTACATGATAATTTTGTTGTATATTTGACTGTAATAACAAGTTGTGCATAGTAGATTTGCAGTTTTATGTACAATCATCTTTTTATTGTACTATGTTACAGAAATGCTTGTTTTATTCCATAAATTAAAAATAAAATAAAAAAGGAAGAACACTGGATTTGAAGTAAGAAGGCTCATGTTAAAATTCCTAGCTCTTTCAATTACTACTACCTAACTTTGGGGAAGACATTCTAATTCTATAGGCCTCAATTTTGATCTCTAAGGCTATTTTTCTAGCTCTAAAACTATTATTCCATAGTCCTAATTTAGCAACAAGGGACCAAGGAATCTGAGGTTTGGAAGGGACCTCAGAGCTCATATATTGGAATCCATATTAGAAACTGTGCCTTAGAATAGAAGTGTCCCCTCTATAGTATGCCAACAATTAATGATCCAGCCTCTGCCTGAGGACCACTAATAACAAGGAACCCACTTCCTCCCTAGGCAGAACACTCCACTTTCAAATAGTGTTATTTACTAGGAAACTTTTCCTTACGTTGAGCCAAGAGTAACCTCTCTATAATGTCCACACATTGCTCCTAGTTCTGCCCTCTGGGGGCCAAGCAGAACAAGGCTAATACTTCTTCCATATGACAGCCTAGATCAATCTAGATTTGAAAGAAAGAGCAAAGGGGGAAATAGTGCTGGTTATATAATCATTCCTGAAACTATTTTAGTGCAACAATGTCAGAAGCATTCCATTTTAGATATGCCTCTCTTCCATGCTTTTTTTTTTCCTGATAACACTCATATAGTTTCAAAGGAAGACAATTCTTCTTTATTTTCTATTAACCACATAAGCATAAGATTGTAAGAATTTAAAATACTATAGGGCCTACAGGATTTTGCTTTTGTATCCTTCATATTACCTCTACCTCTTTTAAATTCTGTAGAATATGAAAGAAGATGATTCTTGGAAGTACTGAAGAATGTAGAAGAATGCACGTCATATTATTTATTCAGAATTATCTTACTTTTCATATCCTCTTGTTCCACTGAAAGGGGAAAATTGGCTGTACATTGGCCCAAGCAATAACAAACAGACAATCAGATTGCATCTCCAGCAGAATGAGTCAACCAGCACTTTATCCATTTATAAAAATGTGCAGATATTGCCAAAAGCTTTTCTGTTCCATAGAAATAGTCAGTCCTTCAGCAATTATGACTCACCTCCTTTTGTAAACATCATGAATGGTACATGTTCTCCTATTTGTCTAAAGAACTATCACCTAGAGCAGGGTTCAACTGGAGGGCCTTGAGTTTATTGTTATTTTAACTTTTTTATAATTATTTTGATATAATTGGCTTCCTTTGTAATCTTGAAAATTTTATTTTAAGCAACTAAAACATTATTTTGAGAAGGGGTCCATCAGTTTACCCTGACAGTCAAAGGGCCATGCCAGGAAAAAAAATAGTTAAGAAACCCCTCTCCTAGAGAAATGCAAGTGGCATACCAGTACAACTAATTTAAAGGAGTCCCCCACCTCCAATTTCCTACACCAAGTAGAAGAAGGTCTTTTGTAAAGACGTGGACAAAGATTTCTGCAAAGAAAATTTTGGACATGAATTAAATCCAAGGGTCTCTATATAAAGTTTTCTGACCCGGTCCAAGGTGGCAGGTGAAGAACACAAGGAACCAGGCGACCTGGGTCAAAGTCCAAATTTTGTTACTGTATGACCTTAAACTCTACGACCTTAGGCAAGTCAGTCAACGTCTCTGAGCAAATTTTCTCACTTGTAAAATTAATCTATAAGTTGTGTGTTAAAAAAAAACCTTCATTACACATAGAATTTCAGCTTACCTTTTTTCCAACTATTTTTTCTAATTTATGTGTAATTCCAAAGGATTTTGTGAAATATTCTGTACAAAACTGAATCTAAACATTCAGTGACTACGATCTGCATGAAACTGACTATTTAAAACATGTAATGCTTAGAAGCAGCATAACATAGGGAGAGAGACTCCCTTGAAGTCAAGAGGACCTAGAATCAAAGTCTATCTCTGATACGTACTGTCTGTGTAACCCTGGACAAGTCACTTGACCTGTTAGTGTCCCAAGCACTTCTCTGAGACTAACTCTACGTTGGTAGATTGAGTTGCCACTGGGAACTTCTCTGTACCAAGAAACCCACAAGTCTAGTCCCTGGCCTCTAATATTAGGAAAATATACAATACTGCCCTCTCCTTTTAAAACCTTAACTAAATCCTACCATTGAGCATAGCTCTCACCCCTAGAAAAGTGGTTTAGGCTAATTGATTCCTCAAACGTCTTAACCTTTTGCTAAAATTTCTTTCTCCAAAGTTGCGAATTACTTCTTTCTTTTTTAATTTTTCACTTATTTTATTTTTTTAATTTATGGAATAAAATAAGCATTTCCATGACATAGTATAATAAAAAATGATTGCACACTGCAAATCTTTTATGTACAGCTTACTATTCCTTTTAAATATGCAATAAAGGTATCACGTAAATTTCTTTTTTTTCTTCCCCCCATCCCTAGGGATGGCTACCATTAGACACAAATGTGTGTGTGTGTGTGTGTGTGTGTGTGTGTGTATGTATGTACTTATATGTTGTCAGATCCCAGGGATTTTTCTCAATCTTCATCCTTCATGATCTCTCTACAACCTTGGTCCCTATTGATCATGCTATACTTGAGACACTTTCCTCTCAGTTTTCCAGTCATTTTTCTCTCTTTATTCTTCCCCATGTGTATTACTATTCTTTCTCAGTATCCCTTGCTGACTCATAATCAAAATTATGTTAATTATGGCTGTGCCCCCAAAGCTCTGCTCCTGTCCCCTTTCTCTTCCCTCTCCACATATTCTCTCTGTGAATTTACCAGATCTCTGGTATTTAATTATCATATCTATGCAGCCTCAATCTGTTCCTTTTGCACTCTAGACATCTCTAACTACCTGCTAGACATTTATGCCTAGAATGTACTTCCTCTTCACCTCTGCCTCTCACAATGGTTAACTTCCTTAAAAGTTCTTTTCAAACACAACCTCCTATAGGAATTTGTGTGTTTGTTTGTTTGTTTGTTTTCCCCCAATTATCCCATCTGCTTAGGTTCCATATTATATTTTATATTTTTAATTTATATTTTATTTATAAATTTATATGTGTGTACTTATCCGTGAGGTCTCTCTCACTAAAATGTGCACTCCTGGAGGAGACTTGTGTTTACATTTCCAGAGCCTAATATATTACCTACTTATGTAGTAAGTGCTAGTTAATTTATTGATTGGTTGACAGAAAATGGTCATTTACATGGTATAATGGTTAATCAGAATCCACCAATCTGAGTTTGAATCTTCATGAAACATTTCTGTTCCTTTATTAATATATATGCATGTATGTGTATATTGTGTGGGCATATACATACATACATTCTTCATTTATTCTAGTATAACACATGAATGTGGTGGATTTCTTGAGCTCAGGAGTCTGAGCTCCAATGGATTATGCTGATCTAGGGTCCACACTAAAATTTTTTTAAAGATTTTTTTTAATGACTAAACTTTCCCTATTAAGTTTTTTTTAACTTAATCATCAATTCAGTTTAGCATAATGTGGCCTCTATTATTCTAATCATATTCAAAACTGGATATATTTTTTCCCCTTTAATGATAAGCTTAAATCAATTTCACTTTCCTCTGGAAGTCAAGGAGAAAATTTATTTGGAAAATCACTGTAGTACTTGGCATGAGTCAAAGGGAAGGAGGGATCCTTTATACTCTATGTTCATTCAGTTAAATTTGCCAAAAATTACTAGATTAGGTGGCAAGGAGAGTTTTCACTTCTCTAGAGCCTTTTTACAGCCATAATAAGGATTTAATTCTCCAAGTTATATTTGTCATTCAAAATATCTGATGCCTGCTAGTTTATCTACCTTTTTCTCCTTCACTCTGATGTCAAATGTAGTGGTAAGAATTGTTTGGTATTATTTATTTTACCATTAAAGTATCTTTTCTAATGATGAACTTGGATTCTAGTAAATCATTCTTCTGAGGAAGTGGGAGGTGACTCAGAAATTTGAGAGTAGGGAGGTGGATAGAATAAATATTGACCAATCAAACAATAAAAATTCATTAAGAGTCTTTTATTTCCCAGGCACTATCCTAGGCCCTGGGGACACAAGTACAAAGAATTAAACAATTCTTACTGCCAATGAGCTATGTTTGATAACAAATATACAATGTTTAATATCTTTGGTGAATATATGTTACATCAAAATTTGCCAATAAATGGAAAATGAGGGAAGGTTCAGAATGGGAAGAGGTATCTACCAAAGGACAGAGACCTTAAAATGGAAAACAGCAAAACTAGAGAAAGATTTCTTTGTTAGGAATCAAATTAAAACTTCAAATGTCATAGGAACTCCAGAGAGGAAAATTGAGGAGCCAGCCTATAACAGAGGCTGCAACCTTACAAACATAGTAATTGTTGATAAACTTTTTCAAATGGACACAGCCTTGGTTATGATACTGAGTGCATTTCATACAGATATTATTTCTAGATCTGTACAAACCCACTGCACATTTAAAAATGAAGATCTCTTCTCTCATAAAGATCTTAATATGATAAATATGCTCTTACACACAAGAAATAAATAAGTCATATTATTCTTTGTTTTCATCACTAACCTTGTACTGGTCCATTCTGCATGATTTCTTTCATTATTTCAGTTTCCTGGAAGGAAACAAGAATGTAAAAGTCAACATCATTACCACTGAGGACTACTTGCTATAGAAATTCTGTTAGGTTTTGCTGCATATAGTGAATCAGATACAGGTTGATTTTGTTTGCTAACAGTTTATAATTGAATATGCTTTGGAAATCAGATTAGCAGAATCTTAGAGTAAGAAGTGATCTAGTCCTATCCCTAGATGAACAAGAATCTTCTAATGAAATAATGTGTCTAAAGCATTTTACAAATCTTAAAGTATTATATAAACATCAATTATGACTACTAATATCACACCAAGGCATGATAATTCAAGTTTTGTTTGAAGACTTTCAGAGAGGCAGGGTTAATAACCTCCCAAGGCAATCTATTTCTCTTCAGGATAGCACTAATTGTTAGGAAGTTTTTCCTTACATCAAGATTTAATTTGTCAGGGGGTGGAGCCAAGATGGCAGAGTAAGAGCAGTGACTTGCTTGAGCTCATTCCCAAACTCCTCCAAATATCTGTAAAAAATGGTTATAAATAAATTCTAAAGCAGCAGAACCCACAAAAAGATGGAGTGAAACAAATTTCCAGCCAAAGACAGCCTGGAAGTTTGATCAAAAAGGTATGTCATGATGGGTGGGGATAGGAATGTAGTTCAGCTTGGGCATGCAGGCAAAACAGGCCTCAGCGAACCAGGAGTAGCCCTCAGAGGACTGAATCACAGGTAGGTGTGACAGTTTCCAGACTTCTCAACCCACAAATGGCAAAGAGAACTTAGAAGGTCAGTAGGAAAAGTTTGTGACTGTGGTGATAGGGAAGCTCAGTCCCAGCCCCATTTCCCTAGTGCAGCCCTGAGGTGGTGGCTGCTTCCTGAGCTTCCAGCCCACAGACTGAGTGGGGATTGAGTGGCTGATCATAGGGGGATTACAGGGACCTCTTTGCTGGTGCAGGATTCCCTTGCTTTGCCCGTGCTTGGATCTATGTCACAGTTCTAGGTGGCAGTTCTGGGGCAAGGAGGAGCGCTGGCATTGTGGAACTTGTAGTGGTAGTGGAGAGGAAATCCTCCTCACAGTTCCAAGACAGAAAAGAGTGTTTATTTTCACTCATAGACTAGAGCACAGGCCAGGAAAGGAGTAAACACCTCGCCTCTGATCATAGCACCTTGGAAGAACTGAAAATTTACAGGTCCCTAGAAGTATCTCTGAAAACAGCTGCACAAAACTCCCAAAGCTTGGGACAGTGCATTCTTCAAACTGAAAGCAGACCCCTAAGTTACCAAAGAGTTTATAACTCAAGTAATTGGCTGGGATCATGAGCAAAACATAGAATATTTCTTTGGTGCCAAAGAAGATCAAAACATACAACAGAAGAAAACAAAAAAAGTCAAAGCTCCTACATCCAAAGCCTCCAAGAAAAATATGAATCAGTCCCAGGCCATGGAAGAGCTTAGAAAGGATTTTGAGAAGCAAGTAGGAGAAGTAGAGGAAAAACAGGGAAGAGAAATGAGAGTGTTGCAAGAAAATCATGAAAAGCAAGTCAACAGCTTGCTAAAGGAGACTCAAAAGAATAGTGAAAAAAAAACACCTTAAAAAATAGCCTAACCCAAATGGCAAAAAAGGTGCAAAAAGCCACTGAGGAGAGGAATGTCTTAAAAAGCAGAATTGGCCAAATGGAAAAGGAAGTCCAAAAGCTTGCTGAAGAAAATACTTCCTTAAAAATTAGAATGGAGCAATTGGAAGCTAGTGATTTTATGAGAAATCAAGACATTGTAAAACAAATCCAAAAGAACAAAAAATTAGAAAACAATGTGAAATATCTCATCAGAAATCAACTGACCTGCAAAATAGATCCAGGAGAGAGAATTTTAAAATTATTGGACTATCTGAAATCCATGATCAAAAAAAGAGCCTAGACATCATCTTTCAGGAAATTATCAAGGAAAACTACCCTGATATTTTAGAATCAGAGGGCAAAATAGAAATTGAAAGAGTCCACCAATCACCTCCTGAAAGAGATCCCCAAAGGAAAACTCCTAGGGATACTGTAGTCAAATTCCAGAGTTCCCAGGTCAAGGAGAAAATATTGCAAGCAGCCAGAAAGAAACAATTCAAGTATTGTGGAAACACAATCAGGTTAACACAAGATTTAGCAGCTTCTACATTAAGGGACCAGAGGGCTTTGAATATAAAATTCCATAGGACAAAGGAGATAAGATTACAACCAAGGATCACCTACCCAGCAAAACTGAGTATAATCCTTCAGGGGAAAAAATGGACATTCACTGAAAGAGAGGACTTTCAAGCATGCTTGATGAAGAGACCAGAGCTGAATAGAAAATTTGACTTTCAAATACAAGACTCAAGTGAAATATGAGGAGGTAAACAGGAAAGAAAAATCATAAGAGACTTATTAGGGTTGAACTGTTTACATTCCTGCATGGAAAGATGATATTTGTAACTCATGAGACCTTTGTCTCATTAGGGTAGTTGGAGGGAAATATTATAGATAGATAGATAGATAGATGATAGATAGATAGATAGATAGATAGATAGATAGATAGATAGATAGATAGATAGATAGAGGGCACAGGGTGAGTTGAAGATGAAGGGGTGCTATCTAGAGAATAAAATTAAGGGGTAAGAGAAGATTATACTGGGAGAAGGAGAAAAGGAGAGAAAAAAGAGAGGGGTAAATTATCTCACATAAAACAGACAAGAAAAGACTTTTACAATGGAGGGGAAATGGGGGAGAGTGAGAGAGAATGAATGAATCTTATTCTCATCAGATTTGGCTTAAGAAGAGAATAACATACACATTGAATTGGATATGGAAATATATCTTACCCTACAGGAAAACAGGGGTGGAGGGGAAGGGGACAAGAGAGCAGGAAGATGATAGAGGGGAGGGCAGATTGAGGGAGAGGGTAATCAGAAGTAAACACTTTTAAGGAGGGAGAGGGTCAAAAGAGAGAATAGAATAAATGGGGGGTGGGATAGGATGAAGGGAAATGTATTTAGTTTTTCACAACATGACTACTATGGAAGTGTTTTGCAAGACTACACATGTATAACCTGTATTGAGTTCCTTGCCTTCTCAATGAGGGTGGGTGGGGAGGGAGGAAGGGAGAAAATTTGGAACCCAAAGTTTTAAAAACAAATGTTTAAAAAATTTGTTTCCACATGCAACAGGCAAATAAGATATACAGGAAATGGGATATAGAAATCTATCCTGCCCTACAGGAAAACTGAAGGGGAAATGGATGAGAAGGTAGGGAGAGAGAGGAGGGAGGGTAGATTAGGAGAAGGAGTATTCAGGATGCATGCCATCTTGGGGTGGGGGAGGGATGAGATGGGGAGAAAATTTGGAACTCAAAATCTTGTGGAAGTGAGTATTGAAAACTAAAAATAAATTAATTAATTTTTTAAAAAATTCAAGGAGCTGAAAAAAAGATTTAATTTGTCTCTGCAAATTCATAGGATCCAAGGAGATGAGATTTCAACCTTAGAGGTACTTTAGAGATAATTTAGTCTTAGTCCCCACCCCACCCCCATTTTCCAGGTGAAGAAATAGAGAGGTATGTGGACTTGCCCAAAGTCACCTAGGTTTAAGTGACAGAGACAGGATTCTAATCCAGGACTTCCTACTTCAAATTCAGTGCTTTGCCCTTAATAGAAGTCAGCTTCATTCAATGTTCCTTGCTTTGCATTCTTGAGCCAAATAGAACATATACATACAATTTCTCAATCATATGAGAGCCCTTCCAGATACTTGAAAATAGTTACTAGATTTTCCCTAAGTCTTCTTTTCTCCAATACTAACATTCCACATTGCATCAACAGGTTTTCATTTGGAACAAACTCAAGACTTCTCAACATCTGGTTGCCATTTGCTAATGCTTTCTAATCTATCAATATACTTCCAAAATGTGATGCCCAGAGCCCAACACAACACTTTAGATGGAATCAGACTAAGTCAGAGGCAAACGTGACTCTATTATCACCATCCTCTGTCTTAGAATATTATTCCTCTCTTAATGAAGCAAAATGTAACCTTAAGTTCATTTTTTCAGTCATTTTTAAATTTTATTTTATTTTTATTAATTTATTTTGATTTATCAATAATTACCTACATATGCTTTTGAGTTTAACATTTTTCCCCCTTTCCTCAACACCGCCCTCCCCAAGAAGGTACACAATCTGATAAAGTCTATACATTTACATTCATATTAAACATATTTTCACATTTGTGATGTTGTAAGTAAAAATTAAAACCAACAGGAGGAACCATCAGAAAGAGGAAACAAAACTCAACAGAAGAGAAAAAAAATAACAATTCAACTTCCATAGTTCTTTCTTTGGATGTAGATAGTATTTTCCATCACAAGGCCTCTGCAGATGTCTTAGATCTTTGTATTGCCGGGAAAGGTTAAGTTTATCAAAATTAGTCATCACACAACTTGGCTGTTATTGTGCAAAACAGGTTTTCTTGGTTCTGCTCACTTCATTCAGCATTAGACCATACAAGTCTTTCTAGGTTTTTCTGAAGTCAGCCTGTTCATCATTTCTTATAGCAGAATAGTATTCCATCATATTCATATACCAAAACTTATTCAGCCATTCCCCAATTGATGGGCATTCCCTCAATTTCCAATTCTTTGCCACCACAAAAAGAGCTGCTATGAATATTTTTATACATGTAGGTCCTTTTCCCATTTGTATGATCTCTTTGGGATATAGCCCTAGAAGTGCTATTGCTGGGCCAAAGGGTATGCACATTTTGATAGCCATTTGCGCATAGTTCCAAATTGCTCTCCAAAATGGTTGGATCATTTCACAACTCCACCATCAATGCATTGATGTTCCAATTTTCCCACATCTTCTCCAACATTTATTACTTTCCTGTTTTGTCATGTTGGCCAATCTGATAGGTGTGATGTGATACCTCAAAGTTGTTTTGATTTGCATTTCTCTAATCAATAGTGATTTAGAGCATTTTGTATATGACTATAGATGGCTTTAA